ACTACTGTACATAAAAGTTACACAGAGGAAAAATAATAACACAAAGCTGCAACTTTACTAGTAATATAAAGTAACCTCCCTGCTTTTTAAAAAATAAAAATACAATCAACATCACATTATCAAATGTTAAATATTTCAGTTTATTTTTTTCTTCACCTCGTCTTTTCTCACAGGCTTCAAACATGTCAAGGCACTAATTTAAAACCTGCCTGCCGAGTTAAATCTAGAATTTGTAACTGTTAAAAAAGGTATATTGTGTGAGAATCGGGTGGGGGTAATAACAGGTGTCAGAAAAATGTCCAGCAATTATCCAACCCGATGTAGTCATCTCTTCATCAAAGTTAGAGAGCAAAACTGGCCAGAGCTGAATCCTCCTCCCTCTCAGCTGGGTGTTGGGGCTTTTTCACAGCGCAGGCTGTCCCCCACTCCCTGCTGTTGGACTCCTCCAGGCTGCGTTCTGTTGGCCTGCCGCGTTCTTTCACACCTCGGCCGTGTGTGAGGAGAGCTGTGTCTTCATCCCTCCATCCTTCCATCCTCCAGTCCTCCTCCTGCCATGCCTTCCACCCACCCCCAGTGGAGGCGCAGGAGGCTCGTTACCGTGGCAATTAGTGAAAAGCCCAAATTAGCCCTCTTGGCTGTCCACAGGTGACAAAGACACTTTGCATTTCTGCTAATTAGGAAACAGAACAACATGATTAAATGGGGCCTATCAGGAGGAGAGTGGAATAACATGTTCCACAAATAGAAAAGAGTTATACATTATTGCATCTCCTGCATGAAATGATTTAGACATCCCATTAGGTTTCTTCATTTGACGAGAGGATAATGTTGTGTTGTGAATGTTACTGTGCTTTACCTACAGTTCTAAGAGGCTTGTGTGAGAAGGTTTGTGAGTTTCTCTGTGTGTGTAGTGTTGCGTTTCTCACCTGCACCTGCAGATTGACCGTCTATTGTGAAGTGAGAGTGGAAGAGCTGTTGCAAGAAAGAAACAGTAAAATCCTTTGGGTTTCATTGTTTCTTGCAGACTGTGTACATTTTTGGACAGCACAAAATATGCATATAGCAAGACCTCTAGATGATTTCTTGAACTACATCAGGAAAAAAGTTCTCAACATTAACACTCATATACTGCATGTACTTATGTATTTATTCCTCGGGATAGTTCTGCTTGTAGAACACTCAACTTTGACAGAGTTATAAATTTAAGAGTTTGTCCTACATATACACAGTATGTTTGAAATTTTCTGCCAGTGCTCAGATGAGCTAGAAATGTATTGTATAAAATGTTAAAGGTGGCTTTAAGAACATACTGTCCATAGGCATTTTATGGTTCAGATCATGTCTATAAAATGCAGTGGAAACATTTTTTTTAATGATTCCACTAAATCTTGTAATGGAGCTGCTCTGGTTTGTATATCCTGATGAAGTCATAGATAAATGTTTTGGTTCCATGGTTTTCTAGCTTTGTTAGAGATGTTTATAATTCTAAATTCTGAATCAACAACCCCAGTGCAGCTAAAATTCTCCTTTAAGCTTTTTTTTATGCTGGATGAATTTACCAGTTCTAAATCTTGCTCTGTGTATCCACCCTTTGCATATTACAACACATTAGCAGTAATTAATGGTGGCAAACTCCATGTAATATCAAACTCAATTTAACAGGCTAACTTATTCCAGACATAAATCATCAAATATTTAAAACTTCAACATCCAATGCAATCATTTCCACCACAAATGTACAGTATGTCAGACTAGTGTTTGTGTTGGTGGTGTTTTTGTTCCCAAGTTGAGTTTGGTCACCATGGGGAGGTCACAGCCTGTTCCATGACCCCGACAATGCCAGGCAGCTGAGGTAATGCTGGCAACAGTGCAGTCCACTGATAGTAACCATGGCAACCATGACATGACCTCACTCAGGGTTGAACCTAAAGGTCACTCCTTGTTGCTCTGGGGATGAGTACTCCAGCTTTATTACCAGTGACAGCTCTCAAATTTCACAGCTAGAGCATAGACTATATACTATACTTACTCCCTAATGCAAAAAGGCTTTCACTGACTAGCCCTTAAATAACACCCCAACAAGTGCTGTGTATTTGTGTCTGCTTTTCTAACTGAGTAGAATATACAGTATGCTAAGTCAATTAAAATTGTTTTGTTTCACTTCCCAGTACCTGGTGCAGGTTCCCTGCTGGAAAACAGCTCATATTGTCAGGCGGCATTATTACTACTTATTAAAATGGTTCCCTATAGTGGCACAATGGTTAGTGGGGGCTAAATGAGTTTCAGGTGCTTCAGCGGAGGATGGAGCAGACTGGAGAAAAATGAGCTAACTTGCTTATGTGCCTTGAGGCAAACCAAGCATCCTCCAGTTTCTTCTCCTTTTCTCTGTCTCTTTTTCTCCTCCTCTCAGGCCCTGTCCTGTGTGGGCTAGGCTGGTTGGGCTATCGTTAGGCTCGGCCAGTCAGATGTTGCCCCGGGGTAAACAGAAACATCTGTCCCCTGCCCAGCCGTGACTGTCGCTGAGTGATAAATCCTGGGGTGGCTTGTGCCAGCGCTGTCCGGCGCGCCACCTGTCCCCCTCCTACACAATATCCCAATCCCATTGCCTACACATACACATACTTCACCCTGTTTGCACTCATCTGCCTTCATCCTGACAGTGTGACAGAAGCAGGTGGTTCACTCCCTTTTTGCCCTCTGGCCTTCTATGCTCTCGTTCTCAGTTGGCACATTTATGCAGGGAGCGAGAAGGGTTGTCGCCTCTAGCAAATACCAATGGAGAGATCCCTGTACCAGGTTATTCAGCGGTGATCCTAGGGAGCTCAAAAGCCTAAAGCAGTCATTGCCTTTAATCAAGTATAAAGTCTGCAGATCAGATAAACTAAGTTTTACAAAGGTCAACAAAATGTTCAGTGGGGGGGGAAAGCATCAGAAAGAGTAGGAGATTTTAGAGGATGTACCTCAAATGACAATGAATTTTTCCATATTTAAGGGTCTTGCTCTTGTAAATTCAACTGTCAGACAAAGCATACACACATACTTGCTGTATGTGCTCATACTTTCTGTCATGTCTTACTCTCCTGCTACCACTTCCTCTCCCTCTACTGCTACTTTTACTGGTGTGACAGAGGCAGGTGGCCAACTTCCTGTCCTTTGACCTTCAACAGTTTCCCTGCAGTAAGGAGACAGTGCAAACACATACAGTGACACACACACACACAGAGGAGGAGCCTGGGTTGCCCCTGGTGAACTGGGGCAGAGGTCTTGCAAAAGACCCTGGAGGGAAGTGAAGGTCCTTCGACTCAGGGACAAGTGTTATTTTAGCTTGCAAAACCTGACAGGCTGAACAATCATCCCGGCAGCGCCAACATCTCATATGCACATTAGAAAGAAAGAGAGCGAGGTGTACCTTACAAACTGTAACCCAGCCTAACTAGGAACTAAAAACTGAAAGGAATAAGTGAGCTGATCAGTGACACACCCCTTGAAAACTGTTAGAAAAACTACGTGCTCTTCTATCATTTCAAGCAGTTTTCATACAGTACTTTTTTCACAGAATACCACAAAGCACTAGGATATAACACTGTCTGCCACCTGCCTCTAAAACACTTTTTTATTCCAAAGCTGGGTGAGTGAAAATAATTTTAAAAATGTTATTATAAAAAATGTTATTCATTTGTCCACTTCTCTGCCCTTGGTCGCTTGACTATCTTTTCTCCTTACAACATGTCTGAATTTATCTAGCAAACGGCCGCAGATAAATTGTTTTTATCGTGTAAAATAATATCAGTAGAAACACAAACATTTGAGCTGTCCCTTAGGCTGGCGCACGTCTGTGTGTATGATTTGCATGTTTGTTTTATGCCTCAGTGTGTATGTAAGAGGACCCCTGCTGATTAATGTCACTTCATATTGTAATAGAGAGTGCTGAACATGTTCTGATATCTGTAATGTGTTACTAGTCTCAGCTTGATTTTATTGCCATGGTCTAATAGGATATTGCCACTATTACAATTTGGATTAACTTCCATATCACTGCTGTTAAACCGAGTGAGGTTTGTATCATCTGTGTGCACACGAGTGATAGAGAACTGGGGATGTCTATCAGGGTGGGCTGCTCTGCTCGATTAATTTCACATTCAGCACCTCCTTCAAAATGCGCCTCTTCTATTTGTCACCACAATAGTTTTCTCTAAGAGCAGGTATAGCTGCTGCCTTTTCCTCTCACTGATGGCCCTGTGTAGAACAAGGCTGTCTGTATTTGCTGAGGTGGATCAGTATCAGCAAGCGCTTTCATTTTTGGACCAATCTTATATGACTGATTTGAGTCTGTCAGACACAGACACTGGTATAGCAAATGCATGTAAATAGGTCTGGCATGCTTTTCTATGATCATTTTTGTCAGCAGGGAGCAGAGGAGGAGGCTGCCCTTACACTGTGAGTCCTTTGTCTCTCTACAGCCCCAAGCTCCACCTCTCTTCCAGCCAGCCCTCCAATGGGAGAGCCTTCAGGTGTTGACCTTATCAGGTGGAGGTCAAAGCCAGGTCAGGGATCTGTTGCTAGGTTACCATCAGATAAGTGGCTAGGGTAGGCAGCAGTGGGTAGCTCTGTCATTCAGGCCTTGTCATGTAATCTTGTTCATTTGCAGACAACTGTCTGGACGTCAGAAAGGCTATCTGGCCTGTACTGTT